AGGGTTGCGATCCCGTTACCGGTCAGTAAAAAAGACAAAAAGGAAAAAAAAAAAAAGAATGACCTGGGAGCCTCCCTCATCCTGCTCACCTAAACTTGAAAGCGAGTAACCTTTTTGTTTTTTACTGAACCATCTGAGAGTACACTGCAGACATGACCTTTCAACTCTGTATCTTCTAGGAGAAAGATAATCTGCATAACCACAGTTTAATTATCACACCTAAGAATATTAAGAATATTAACAGTAATTCCATAATAATATGTAATATAGTCAAGACTCAAATTTCCTTATTTTCTCCAAAAAGTCTTTTCAAGCTGGCTTTTTTGGAATCAGGACCCACTGCAGGCGCCTTCATTGCATTTGGGGTCCACATTTCCCTGTGTAGTCCCTTCAGCGATGGCCCTGCCTGCCCCGAAGGTCTCTAGGTCTCTCCCTCACCTGACGTCTCTCTTTCCTCTCTCCCCAGGAGCCAAGGATGTGCAAGTTCAAGTGCCACCTGAAGTGCGGGGCTACCTAGGGGGTACCGTAGAGCTGCCGTGCCACCTGCTGCCACCCGCCCCTGAAGTGCGTGTCTCACAGGTGACCTGGCAGCGCCTGGACGCAGCTGAGGGGAGCCCAAATGTGGCTGTCTTCAACCCTAACTACGGCCACAGCTTCCCCAGGCTACAACCCGGCAAGGAGCGGTTGTCCTTCGTCACCGCCGGGCAGAGCACAGAGAAGGATGTGGAGCTGCGGGACGCCACGCTGGCCATCCGGGGGCTGACGGTGGAGGATGAAGGAAACTATACGTGCGAGTTTGCCACCTTCCCCAACGGCACCGTCCGGGGGGTGACCTGGCTCAGAGCCATAGGTGAGCAGGGTGGGGTGCCGGAGGCAGCAAGGTAAAAACATCCCCTTTCGGGTCTGTTTCTCTGCTTTGGCCATGAGGTTGACTTTTCTGTGGTCTTCTGTCAATTAGCAAATGTTCATTAAGCACGTACAGTGTGCCAGATGCTGTGTGTGCTGGGGACACAGCAGGCAACAAGGCATTCTTTCAACAAATATTTATTGAACATCTAATATATGCCAGGTCACCATTCTAGGCTTTAAGCAGTAAGACAGAGCTCCCTGCCCTCCTAGAACTTACATTCCAGTAAGGGGGTGCCAGAGAGTAAATAACGGAAATGAGAAATACAAGAGTAAGTCAGGCAGCTACAGGTGCTATGGAAGTTGGACCA